TAGTCTCTTTTCACCTACAACGTTCTGCATCTCCCCTGTCCTGCTCCTCCAGTCTCTCCATCTCTAAGAGAGTAGCTCACATTTCCAGCTGTGCAGGACTTGAGGGACGGGGAGTGACCATCAGCAGCGGAGAAAGAGGAAGGAAGGCCTTTGTTACTGTGGTCCCCCATGATGTACGTGCCATGAGAAGCCTCTTCTTACTTTCTGCTCAATAGTTTCTCACTCGTATCTCATTGAAACAAGCAGAGAATTTCTCTGGAAAGTGCAGATTGCGAACTTTCAACCCACACCACGTTTGTGTTTGTAAGTATGTAGCAGAGGAGGAGATATTAGCTGCTGGCTGGACATCTGGGACATTCTTCCCAGACAATAGATAAAAACACAGCAGTTGCTGTTTGTGTTTATGTGAGTGAAATGGCAGGGTCATGACCTTCTGTTCAGAGTTACGTAAGTCTAGAAGTCTATGACAGTGGCCAATCCTAGTGCAGTCTAGAAGAAAGAACAGGACCATAGAAAATGTAGTCATAAACAAGTGCTTCCTGATTAGCATCGTACTAATGGAGAGCATTGTGCTGTTTAGGCCCATAAATACCTCCATTCAACACTGTAAAAATGAAAAGACAATCTTCTGCATAGGTTTTTTTCATTTTCTCAACTTTGTTTGGTCAAAAGTTTCATTTTTTTTAGTAATGCATCTCAATTAGGCGTGTGGAATGAGGAAATAAGGAATGTGGTTGGCTCCTCATAAGCTGAACCTTCTTTTTGGCTTAATTTTTACTCGATTCCTCCCCCGGATTAGTCATTGCAAATTTCCACCCACAGCCTATGACTCCCCCATCTCACAGTGCCCCCAGCCTGGGGGGTCCTCTAAGACTTCTGACCATGTTGGGCTGAGATGTTGCCAGAATTCATACTCTTGATCTCTTGATGACTAATGGTTAGACAGTTGCCTCACTGAGGAGCCACAAAGTTGGTTAATGGGAAATTCCACAGATCCTTCAAAAATTTCTTTATAATTAAGTCGTTAAGATGTAAACAAAGTCATTCAGAGTGGTTTGATATGAAATGCTGCATTCTAGAATCAGAATTGTTCACTGTGTTGGTGACAGGAACCAGACATCCTCCTCTAAAAGCTCCTTCGCAGAAAGTTATTACATTAAATAATTATGAATACACTGCCTGATGCCTGAGACATAGAAACATTTCAAATCCATTCATGGTGGAGAGGTACATGCAGGGTGTTGTGAGGCAAAATAGTCCCCCCAAGAAATTATTTTGGGATTGTGGAATGACTAAATTGGAGGGGGGATTTGAATAACAGTCCAAGAACAAAATGTAAGCATTCACTTTTACAGAGACGACTGTATTCATTGTTTTTTTATTTTTGTTTTTTGGCCTTCAATAGATGCCCAATAGGGAGTATATCCCAGCTAAAACAAATAGGTTAGGGCCCAAACTACCCGCGCATTACTGATGTAAGACCCTGCATAAGTGCAATACAAGTGCTAGATTAGCTCCACAAAGAGACTGGTTTTCAGTCATGAGTCTCTGGACAGCCACTGCATACTGTAAACCTAACTTAGAGCTTGTTTACACCTTGCATTAACATGTGTTTCATGTTCAGATGATATCTGGATAAACTTTGGCCTGGTTCCATCTACACTATTCACTAAAATGCGTCCCCAGTTTGAGCAGAACACCAAAAACATGTGAATGCGAGGTGTAAACAGGCCCTTAGATGCAGTATTGAAAAAATATAAATTAGGAGAACATTTGACTGAACTAAGTTGTGCAAAAAGTTGACTTAAAATGTCAAGCTGACCTGCCTTGAAAGTTTTTCCAGTGACGGAATGGAGGTAGTGAGGAGCTGAGCCCATAGAAACGTGGAATATGAGAACCAGAGCTTTATATCTGATTCTTGCTGCCACAGGAAGTCAGTGAAGTGATCTCAGCAGAGAAGTCTCATGGGAGAACTTTGGGAGGTCATGGACTGGACGAGCCACAGCATTCTAAACGCGTTCTAAACGTAGAGGAGAAACCGTGTGAGCTGAGACCAGCAATGAGGGAATTGCAATAGAAAATAGATAAGCTGATAAGATGAGCAGTGTGTTTTAGAGGATGCCAAACACTGAAGTGGACCAGAAAAGGACTGAGAATCACATGACTATTACATTACCTGTTATAAATGAGAGCTGTTGGTTAGCTGCTGGAGAAAATAACCTGGTCAACATTCCTGATTCAACCAACACACCAACAGCGCTGAATCCTAAAGGGCCTGAACGCTATACTTTTCTTGGAGCTTTTTCCCTTCGAGGTCCCCTCGTGACATTTGCGTGGTTTTATGTACAAAACAGCCGTAATTCAATTTTACATGGCCATTTTCCAACCTCCCTTTATCCTTTACATTAAAACAGGCTGCATTTGTTACTGTTCCTTAAGGACGTATATGTAAATGAGCTCTGTTCTGATTGGCTGGTCTGTATTGTGCCTCATTCAAAAAGCAGGCAAAGTTGAAACACTCCTTATAACTTCAGTGTGTGAGGGGCTTAACTGCTTTCAGGTTGAATAAGCGAGTATGAGTAAATGCAAAAGTTTTCGTGGCACCACAAAAAAAATTCTGTACAAAATAACCTGTTTTTGTAGCTTAATCCTGTCAAATTGAGCATCTCACTGCTGGTCCAGTCAGAGAATTTGACCACAGCCTTTTAAACTTGTTTAAACGTATCGACAGAGGAGCTGCAGCGTGTGCACGTTCACGTTGGACAGAGTGAAATGAATCAGCATGCAGAATCAGTCCTGTGTACCAGCGTGTTTTCTATCACTGCATAAAAGATGCATGAGGCCTCCTTTACCGTTGCATGCGTTCTATTTTTCTTCTCTTTTCTTCAGAATGCAACTCGGATAACTGCTTACTGTTGTTTTGCTTAATCAGAGCAACAAAAAGTGACAGATGTGTGACATTTCTATTCATGTATTTGCTTGCTTGTTTGTTTTAAACAACAATTTAAAACCTTTCGGCTTTCTTTGATCCAGTGCTGATGGACAACTTCATTAGCCAAGCAACTGATTCAGAAATAGAGAGAGAACGAGAGAGAGAGAGAGAGAGAGAGAGAGAGAGAGAGAGAGGATAAACTGGGAAAAGAAAAGCATTCAGCATTCAGAGCAGTGTAACTCTCCCTTCTGCAGTCCGTGTGAAAGGCTTTTTTTGTCTCAGTGTTGTTTTTTCCTCTACTAGAACATCTGATACCCACAGAGTTCCACCACTGCACCCCACCCCGTAATATTCACATGAAAGACTCCTATTTCCTCATTCACGCCAGGGTTATCAAACAATTAATCGCAGTTGATCACATTAGTTTGTGTTTGCATTATTGCCTCTAATTTGACCCTAAAGAAAGATTTTTTCTCATTGAAAGGCAGTGCATTATGTTGTAGAAGTTGTTGTATAAGCTGTATAAGTGGACGAATAGTCTTTGTCACAATGTATTTTTTACTTTCACACCGCAAAACATAGTATCTTGTCAAGTAAAATTATCTTAAATACAGTTGATAAATCTAATATTTCTCCTGCTGAGATTGTTGTAAGCGTAATTTAAGATTATTTACCTAATTTCTAGACATTGTTTACTTGTTTTAAGTAATTTTATTGAGTAAAATTACCTCACTACATTGGCAGATCATTTTGCTTGTTTTAAGAAATGTGCTTGAAACCAGCAAAATCATCTGCCAGTATAGTGAGATAATTTTACTTAAAAAAATGACCTAAAACAGTAATAAATGTCTAGAAATAAACTAGATTATCTTATAATGAGTGCACAAGCATCACAAAATGGGAAATATTAGATATTTTCACTAGATTTATGATCATTTCACTTGACGAGATGCCATTTTTTGCTGTGCAATAATTCAGGACAATTATTTTCATCATGTGAACTCAACATGAATATCACATGATTTCTACACATTGAATTCCACAAGTTCCAATTGTCATTACTGATGTCCAGTGAGACCACCAGTGGCTGCATGTTCCAACCAACAAGTATATCTATCTATCTATCTATCTATCTATCTATCTATCTATCTATCTCTCTCTCTCTCTCTCTCTATATATATATATATATATAGTATAGTGAGTGAATATATGTATATACAGTATACAGAATATATGTATTCCAGCTCCTGCTCACTTCAGTTCTTCAGGCTGATGACTACAATAAATGATTCATAGTAGATACCTAATGATTTATAGCAGTTACTGAATAACTCATAGTAGAATAACTTATTATAGTTATTCAATAATAAAATTAATAACTGAATCATAAGCTAAGAGTTAATATGTAGGAGTGTAGAATTGAAACAACATAGTGTAAACTCTCTGTACGCCTCTCTCTCTCTCTCTCTCTCTTTCTCTGTAATGATAATGAGCCCATGGCATCACTGTAGCCCAAAGAAGCTGAATAGGTTTAATAACAAATGGACAGAGATTGGTGTGTGATTACAGTACAGTGAGGCACTTTGTTAGATACTGAGAGTTCAGCACTCAGCCTGAAGAGTCTCAAAGCTGGAAGCACTTGAGTGAGTTTTCTAAACTGTAGGGCTGTAAATCTCTGACCTCACAGTGATTCAGTCTGATTACGATTCATTAGGAAATGATTCACTGCACCACAAAATCTCAAACTTCACCACAATTCAATCTGCTGATTTTGGCGCAAATCAGAATAACTTTGTAAATATACTGAACTCAGATGTGACTGGAGGAGCTGTTTACACAGCCCTGGAACAAAGACAATGAGAACAATACACCAAGCTTATTTCTGGATATTTCTATTTAAAACTGCCCAAGAATGTAATTCTGGCCACACACAAGTACATAGAGCGCCGTGTGAAAGTCTGAGAACACTCTGTATCTCCTGAAAAATGAATAACTTGTACTCAATATCAAATTTGACTGGAAATCATTGATTACCTTCAGATCCGTGAATCATAGTATGTTTTTACAGTATGAAAGATTGTGTGGGTGAGGAAGGTGTTTGCTTTGCAGGGTCAGGATGAGTGAGCAGTTCAACTGTGAGAACTGTAAGGAGTCTCTGTACGGGAGGAAGTACATCCAGGTGGATGAGGTGCCTCACTGCGTCCCCTGCTATGATCGCCTCTACGCCAACATCTGCCAGGGCTGCAAAGAGCTCATCGGACACAACTCACGGGTCAGTGTTTCTGTCTTAATGCATTTTCAGCATAACGATGTCCAGACTATGACTGTGAAAACTGAAGAAAAGCAGAGCTAAGCTGAAAAAAGTACCATTTCCTCCTGATATACATTACATCAACACCATTACTGCCAAAAGTAAATCAGAACAATAAAACTATGTTGAGGTAATGTACATTCAGCTCTATAACTATTAGTACTCTCATATAGATGGGTAAAAAAAGTGTCATGATGAAATGTCTTTATGCCTAATTAGCACAGCCTCACACTGAAAATATGATAGAAGCCTAACCTTCAACACTTTAAAGGCCAGGGCCGACCGGCAGGCCCAAAGTTTTATTAACATTTACATTTACATTTACAGCATTTAGCAGACGCTCTTATCCAGAGCGACTTACAAAATGTACTTTGTCTATCCAGAGAAAGTATCTTTGCTAGTTACCAATAGGTTAGAGAAAAAGCCAGTCCTGAGCTCAGATACTGCTAGAATCAGAAAGTCATTGACACCAAGAGAAAAAGGAACAGAGTCAAACACAGAGCAGTGCAATACAATACAATACATAAGTGCTGTACAATACATTACAATCAATACTTAATTCAGTGCTCATTTAAGTGCTGTATGAAGAGATGTGTCTTCAGTCTGCGTTTGAAGACGGCGAGAGACTCTGCTGTACGGACAGCCAGTGGGAGTTCGTCCCACCACCTGGGTGCCAGCACAGAGAACAGTCTTGATGCTTGCCTTCCGCGCGCCTTAAAGGATGGCGGGTCAAGCCAAGCTGTACTCGAAGCTCGAAGGGCTTGAGGTACAGTTCGAGATTTCACCATTGCCATCAGGTCGGGAGGGGCTGATGCGAGCAGCTACAGGAAGCCAGTGAAGGGAGCACAGCAGTGGGGTGACGTGACTGAACTTAGGAAGACTGAAGACGAGCCGTGCTGCTGCATTCTGGATGAGTTTCAGAGGCCTGATGGCCCCATAGGAAGACCAGCCAAGAGCGAGTTGCAGTAGTCAAGCCTTGAGATGACAAGAGACTGCACTAGTACCTGGGTTGCCTCTCGAGTGAGAAAGGGTCGGATCCTCCGGATGTTGTACAGGAGAAACCTGCATGACCGAGTTAGGTTCGCGATATGAGCCGAGAACGATAACTGGCCATCCAGAACCACTGGATCCAGACACAGTGTGTTTTATTACACACTTCTATAACCTGAGAACAGCTCGGCCAGTTTGCACTGAAGCCCCTGTAGTTACTGAATAATACGCCCTTAGTATGTAATAAGACTGGGATTTTAATGGGTTAATTAAGGTAAATTTAACGGAAGAAAACAATAAATCTAAAAAAACCCCATTAAATCTATATCAAAAACCTATATCTTTAACAAAGCCACATGTCACAGTTATTGACACCCCTGCATTTAGTACTTTGTGTAACCAACATAACAGCAATGAGTCTCTCCTATTGGAGAATACAGAGCAAGCAATCTGAGAGCGCTTCTCAACACAGAACCTCTCAAGATCTTCACTGGTCTGAATTCTCTGATCTCATCAGGGCTTACTCTTCAACTCCTTGGGACCACCGGTGGTTCCAAAACGCACTTCGTCATATTCATCATAACTTTCATATTTCATAAGCTACGTTCAAAAGGTGGGGGTCATATGAGAGCTGTAACTGTCCTCTTTCCAGTCAAATAGATGGGTAATGTAACTTTAAACCCTTATAATAAAAAAGCTGAACTCACAATTTTTTTTTTTCTACTGAAGGTCAACCCATTTTTCCACAAATCTGGGCTATAAACTGTAAACAGATGGCGTTTCTTCAGTGATCTGCTCTGTACAAATTATTTTTGAAAAATAATACAAAGAGCGTCTGAGATTTTTGGCTTTCAGCAGTAAATTGTAAGCATATAGCAATATGTGTGATCATAAAACACATGTTCTGTTAATTTGAGGGGAGCCTTTACAAAAATTAAATAAATAAATAAATAAAATAAAAATTGACATTTATTTCATGCAGTTACTGAATAATTTGCCTTACGATTTGATCATGTAAATTCAGATGGACAAACCAAAATATACCCTGGAGAATAAGAGGTTAAGATTTTATAGTATCTTTTTTTATAGTAAGATTTTATAGTATCACCTTTTTTATTTTATGTTGTATTTTACCCCAATGTGTTAAATTCAGCAAGTAAACTAAAAAACGAACTGCAAGTAATCGTGCATTGAAATGTACAGAAGTGTTGTAATGAACAGAACCAGCCAGACGCTCACGGTAAACATTAAGAAAAGAGGCTTTACTTAGAAAGGGCTTGACAACACTCGCAGTGAAAAGACAGGCGGTGATCAAATCCAAAAAGGCCAAAAATACAGAAAAAAGGTTAACATAACAAACAATATTAGACAACCAGATCCGAAAGGGCAAAGACAAGAAGTCCAAAAACACAGTCAAGAAACACAGAAGGCAAAATACAGACAGAAACGCTCAGTATCTCTATGGAGAGAAGCAACACCTCACAATCATTCTATGCTAAGGACTGGGCTTATATACTAAACCACAGCCAGTCATATGACAAACATCACAGGTGCAACAGGTTAGTGTTCTGGTGAACTGGAGCGTTGATTGGTGGATTGTGGAAGTTCGTGGGTCACGCGATCTCCCAGAGAGTTCTGGGAAATGGAGTCTTTACGGACGTCAGAGCCGGGAATATGTGTGTCAAGTGTGTTCTCTGTAGAGGATGTGTTCACTTCTTTTCACTTGGAAAATCAACAAAACGTGTCATTTGATCAGGGGCGCTCACACTTTTGCCTATCAGAGTATGTGTATTTAGACCTTTGTGGGGACCAAACATCTCCAGGATGATGAAAGTGTGTGGTCGTGTTGACGTCAGTAACTGTAGTGTGATTACATTTTACTACACACTTTAAAAAGAGATGGTTCTTCAAGGGTTCTTTAGTAAAGAAAACAGTTCTATATAGAACTGTGAACACTCAAAGAACCCTTTGCGTGATTAAATGGTTCTCTGCATGGTGAAAGTGTTCTTCAGATCGATGGAGAATACACTGAAGATGGTGCCATATTGAACCTTTTTTGAAAAGGGTTCTATATAGCACCAAAAACAGTGTTCTTCTATTGTTATGATGTCAAGCTTGTGACAACAGCAAAACCCTTTTTGGTGCTATATAGAACCCTTTTCAAAAAAAGTGCTATATAGATCCATATACAGCACATTCTCCATCAATCTGAAGCACAATTTCACCATGCAAAGAACCATTTAATCACGCAAAGGGTTCTTTGAGTGTTCACGGTTCTATATAGAACCATTTCTTTACTAAAGAACCCTTGAAGACCCATCTTGTTAAGTGTGGAAGAAGTATTTCATTAGTGTAATGTATTCCTTTACCTTACCTAACTGAAGTTAGCACTGTTGTGGAGGTGGATCTCGTTTTTTGAGCGAGGAAAGTGAAAAACTGTAAATGTAACGTTTTTGCCAAACTCTCATTTTAAGATAAGGTGGCCTGGGTGAGATGAAGCAGAGCAGCTTTCAGCTCCAGTCATACTGAAAGACACAGAAACACCCAGCAAAGGCAGGAATAAACTCCAGTTTCCCCCTCAGGGGCCTGTTTTGTGGAGCTTGGCTGTGCGGTGTGTTGGCAGGGTCTCTATCATTGTGAGTGACCCCAGGAGACGGAGTGTAGATCAGTGACCCCAAACACAGCAGTGATGGGGCGGTGTGTTTGTGTGTGTGCGTGCTGAGGGGGGACACCAGCCGACGCCACACAAACACACGGCTCTGAGTTATGGAGCTGCAGGGACACCGCCGCAGTAAATAAAACATTCTGTTTGCTTTGGCCTGCTTCACTTGTCTCTCTCACTGCCTGTCTCTCTCCCCCTGACTCTCACTCTGTCTCTCTCTTTCTCTCTCACTGTGTGGTGCAGAGACTTAGCCATAATTCAACTGGGGGGGGGCGTTAAGATATAGTAAGGATGACCACCACTGACTAGCCTTCTTCACTGTAACTAATTCATTGAAATATGACCCATTTATTTACATTACCAGATGGAAAAATACACTATACACAATTTATACCCTTTTCAAAAAGGCTCTATACAGAACCATCTACAGCACAGAACCCTTTCATCATGCAAAGGGTTCTTTGAGTGTTCTTGGTTCTATATAGAACCCTTGAAGAACCATCATTTTAAGTGTGTAGTATAACGCATTACAGTATAAACTACCGTAATCACACCTTTTTCAAAACGATTCTATGTAGAACCATCTACAGCGCATTCTTCATCAATCTGAAGAACCATTTAGCAATGCAGAGAACCCTTTAATAATGCAAAAAATTCTTTGAGTGTTCATGGTTCTATATAGAACCATTTTCTTTACTAAAGAACCCTTGAAGAACCATCTTTTTTAAGTGTGTAGTATAACACATTACAGTATAAACTACTGTAATCACACCTTTTTCAAAACAGTTCTATATAGAATCATCTACAGCACATTCTCTGTCCATCTGAATAACCCTTTAGCAATGTAGAAAACCCTTCAATCATTCAAAGGGTTCTTTGAGTGGTCATGGTTCTATATAGAACCCTCATCTTTTTAAGTGTGTAGTGTAATGCATTACAGTATAAACTACTGTAATCACACCTTTTTCAAAACGGTTCTATATAAAACCATCTATAGCACATTCTCCATCAATCAGAAGAACCATTTAGCAATGCAGAGAACCCTTTAATCATTCAAAAGGTTCTTTGAGTGTTCAAAGAACTAAAGAACCTCTGAAGAACCATCTTTTTTTAGGGTGTAGGCCTAATCCCTGTCTGGGAAACTGACCCATAGTGTCTATTTTGCATTATGTTTTTTAGTTTGTATCAGTGATCAGTACAAAAAATGTTGAGTAATTATTTTTACTGCCAGTATAAATAAAGCTTAACTGATGTGAACTGTGTCCCCTCGTCCCTCTGATTGTCCCCTTGCTCTTTCTTCCTGTCTTGATCTGTCACTCTTGTTCCCTCTCTCACTCCCACTCTCTCTCCCACTCCCTCACTCTCTCGGGGAGCATGATGATAAGTTCTGGTTCATGTTCTCTGAGACCCTAACGGCATCGTCCGTCACGTAACGTCTCTATCTGTGTTTACACGGCTCAGTGTCGCGCTGGCCCCCTGTAATGAGGGGCTGCTTTCTCTCACATGGTGCAGGACAGGGAGCCCTGAACTCGCATCATTCGTTTCTGGGAAGAATGTAAGCAAAGCAGAGAGATTAGGCTTCGCTATCGGAGGCAGCGTTCTCTCCACAGTGTAAATAAAGTCCTGGCTCTTTTCGAGAGATGGAGCAAAGCCTTCTCCTAATCGCCCAGCCAGCTGCGCGTACACAGAAGAAGCGATCTCTCTGAGGTTGCACTTCTTTGCTGAAAGAGTTTTACACAAACAATGAAAGGTCATATGCGCCTTGTTGTGTACATAACACCCAACTCTCTGGAGAAGACTGCACTCAGGAAGGCAGGGAAATATGCCAATTTGCTTTGTTGGTGTAGCCGCACCATCCCTCCGCATTGAGATGGAGAGCGCAGCACTTTCTATGAAGACTGTATTCATAAGCCACTATAAATGCACGTATAACTTTTTGTAAGTTGGTAACAATGCTTTATAAGCATATTTATAAACTCTAATCATGCTTCATAAGGCTATAATAACACAAGAGTTGCCATACATTGTAATACCTTTTAAAAGGATAACGACCAGTGCATAATTATGAAACACTTGGAATTCTCTGTGTGTCCCAATAGGAGCAGTGCTATTATATACACCTGTATCTGTCCCTATAGGAGCTGTACTGTTATGTATGTCTCTGTGTGTCCTTATAGGAGCTGTACTATTATATACACCTGTGTCTGTCCCTATAGAAGCTGTACTGTTATGTACGTCTTTGTGTGTCCCAATAGGAGCTGTGCTATTATATACACCTCTATGTGTCCCTATAGAAGCTGTACTGTTATGTACGTCTCTGTGTGTCCCAACAGGAGCTGTGCTGTTACATACACCTGTGTCTGTCCCTATAGAAGCTGTACTGTTATGTATGTCTCTGTGTGTCCCTATAGGAGCTGTACTGTTATGTATGTCTCTGTGTGTCCCTATAGGAGCTGTACTGTTATGTATGTCTCTGTGTGTCCCTAAAGGAGCTGTGTTATTACATACACCTGTATCTGTCCCTATAGAAGTTGTACTGTTATGTATGTCTCTGTGTGTCCCTAAAGGAGCTGTACTATTATATACACCTGTATCTGTCCCTATAGAAGCTGTACTGTTATGTATGTCTCTGTGTGTCCCTAAAGGAGCTGTACTATTATATACACCTGTATCTGTCCCTATAGAAGCTGTACTGTTATGTATGTCTCTGTGTGTCCCTACAGGAGCTGTGCTATTACATACACCTGTGTCTGTCCCTATAGAAGCTGTACTAGTACATATGTATCTTTATGTCCTTACAGGAGCTGTACTATTATATATGTCTGTGTGTGTCCGTATAGGAGCTGTACTATGATGACAGACACTACCATGAGGAATGTTTCCGCTGTTCTCGCTGTGAGCGCTCACTCGCCGACGAGCCCTTCATCTGCCAGGATGAGGCGCTGCTGTGTAACGACTGCTACTGCAGCGAGTTTTCCTCCAAATGTGTGGCCTGCAACAAGACCGTCATGCCAGGTACCCACTGTCTACTGCCACGTTTGGTAGAAGTATACGTGCTCCACAACAGCTGTACATACTTTTATGCAAGGTGTTCCCCAGGGAACAGTGCTAGGCCCTGTTTTTGTTTTTGTGTACATGGTGCCCTTTTGGTCAAATTATCTGCTGCCTGTTATTTACTGGTATGCCAATAACATATTTATGTAAGTATAAAGGTCAACACTTCCCTCCCCTGTCTTACTATTATTCATTCATGAGATTAAGCGTGAATTAAGTCTTTTTTAAAAGCCTACACTGGTTAAACTTAAGTACTGCTACTTATTGGTCCTAAGTCCCTGAAGCAGTAATTGCTAAAAATGCTTACATCCACACAATATTGCCCGTCTCCACTCTATGTCAAGCTTGAAATATACTCAAAGTCATATTCACACTTTCAAAATATTACATTGAAATTTGTGTAACTCCCTCTTTATAGTAATCTGGAAAAAAATCCTTTCAATATGTTCAAAATTGCGTTGCTTGTGTTTTGTTTCTTCCAAATTTCTTATCCGGTTGCTACCTGTTTCACTCCGTATTCATTTCAGTGTCCTCCTCTTGACACACACGGCCCTAAATGGTCTAGCAACTCCCTATATAACTGAATGTACAAAGGACAAAATGTCTCAACATTGCTTACATGGACTTCACGTTCACATGTTGACCTCATGCAAAAATATGAAATACAGGAAAGATGTGCGACATGAGCTGTTTAACTGTACTTTGAGTGTAGCGTACAACACATGCAGTTATGTGAGAATAAATATTGGGGTTAAGAGAGTTTAACACTCTAGCCGCAGGCGTTTAGCTGCGGGCGTGGCAGTGTCTATGGGTGTGTGAGCCAGATGTGACAGCGTGATTAGAGCTGAAACTCCTGCAGGGCTTCATTCAGCTCATTTGCGCACAGGCTTCACCTTACCTGCACAGGTAGGAGGGACAATTTTCATCAGAAGAGCCTCTGAATTCCTGTCTGGATTTGCATGGGTGAACTGATTTATCCAGCTCTTACTGGCAGGGCCATTGGGTTACTGGTTTTGCAATACTTGATTTTAATTTTATTGAACTTAAAATAGTACTGTGTGATCGTCCATTCATTTATTTTATTTCTATAACTTGTACAATAAGTTATTAATTTTTTAATGTCAGGAAAAAAAAGCAAAACTTATAACTAATAATGAGGAATTAATAATAAGAAAATTACATAGAAGCCTTAGCAAGTAAATATATCACATTCTTTCAGTATTTATTGTGTCCACTCTATACTTTTATTACAGCTTTCATTCATTTTAGGAGATTCATTTCAGTTTCTCTAAGGACGCTTGGAGCGCTTTCTTTTTGCACAGGGATGTTTTTGCACATCTCCAAAGTTCAGTCTTGGAAGCTGGTAATATTTTCTGCCTCTGCTTGTAAGAGTAAGATTGTTTTTTTGTTTTTTTTTTTACAAAAAATAAGTGCATAACACACAAAAAACGAACGTTACAAAGAAAGCCTGACAGTTATATCTTAATGCCTGCATCTCATCCAAGCTGGCAGAACATGAGGTTCTTTATATTGTAAGAGAAGCAGATGTTTATTGTTAAAAACTTTAATAATATATCAACACAACACTCTTAAAAGTGATAAAAATGATTAAAAGTGGCTCTTTAGTAAAGAACATAGTTTTATATAGAACCATGAACTCTCAAAGAACACTTTCCATCATGAAAGCGTTCTTCAGATTGATGGAGATTGTGTTGCAGATGTATAAAGAACCTTTTTCAAAAGGGTTCAATGTAGCACCAAAAAGGGTTCTTCTGTTTCTATGTCAAGCTTGTAACAATAGAACAGCCCTTTTTTCTGCTATATAGAACCCTTTTTCAAAAAGATTCTGCATAGAACCATCTACAGCTCATTCTCCATCAATCTGCAGAACGCTTTCACAGTGCAGAGAACCCTTTAAGCATGCAAAGGTTTCTTTGAGTGTTCATGGCTTTACATAGAACCATTTTCTTTACTAAAGAACCCTTGAAGAACCATCATTTTAACACATTTGTGAGTGGAGCATAAAGAGGTGAATGGGGAGGGAGGTGACGATGATGATGATGATGGTGATGATGATGGTGATGGTGAGAAGCTCTAGTGGGTATTTGCTCTCTGTTTCCTGTGTCACTGTGTCTGAAGGATGTAATGTTGATACAGTAATTATGTCAGTATCATGTCACTGTCAGTGTACATGCCCAGCACATTACCCATTCAGAACAGACCCGTTTCTCTTTAATCAGACTGTCTGCCTGAGGCTGTGCTGGGTGACTTACTGTCTGAGTATCTGTTTGTCTGTCCAGCTTTCTTTCTGCAGATGTGACTCAGTTGTGCAATATGCTACACAATGTAATTGCATATTTGTAATACACCTTGTATACTTCGTCTTTCTGATGGATTCTTCTATTCAAATTTTTCAAAATTCTTCATTTCTCCTCTTTCATTTTAATTTTTTTCTATTTTTGACAAACTTAATTAGCACATGCAGAGAATTTTATACTTACAAATGACAAATAACAACCAGAAATCACTTTCTAGCTTTCTTTCGTTCTCTTTCTTTCTTTCTCTCTCCTTTAGACGCTAAATCATTCTTATAACTACATAATTTACACATTGTTTCATAGTAGTTAATGAATATTGCACAGTACCTACACTGTAAAAAGTGGCTTGTCAGATCTATTTAAAAATGACTTCATGTGGTAACAAGTAAATTAGCTAATTTTGTTTAATCTAAATAAATACTTTGAATGAATGATTCTTTCAGTCAAAGTCATTTTTTACAGTGTACAGAATAATTCTTAGTAGTTACTTAGTAATTTATAGTACTTACTGAATATAGTAGTATTCATTGTAGATACTAAATCACTTATAATCAATACAGAATAATCCATAGTAGATACTGAATAATTGTCAGTAGATGCTGAATAATTTATAGTAGATAATGAATAATTTATAGCATATAATTATGTGTAGCAGTTACTGAATAGTTTATAGTAGTTACTAAATCATTCACAATAGTTACTGAATCATTTATAGTAAATATTGAATAATTTATAGTAGTTACTGAATCGTTTAGTTACTAAATCATTTACAATAGACACTGAATCATTTATAGTAAATACTGAATAATTTATAGTAGTTACTGAATCTTTTAGTTGCTGAATCATTTACAATAGACACTGAATCATTTATAGTAAATACAGAATCATTTATGGTAGACACTGAATCCTTTATGGTAAATATTGAATAATTCATAGAAGTCGCTGAATCATTTCTAGTAGTTACTAAATCATCTCTAGTAAATACTGAATCATTTACAATAGACACTGAATCATTTATAGTAAAATATTAAACAATTCATAGTAGTTACTGAATCATTTACAGTAGACACTGAATCATTTATAGTACATATTGAATAATTTATAGTAGTTGCTGAATCATTTTTAATAGATACTGAATCATTTTTAGTAGATACTGAGTATGTTAATGCACAGAATGGTACTAAATAGTGTACAATATATATTAAATCATTTAGAGTAGATGCTAAATAAAATGTCTGAGATCAATAACTGAATTACTAGTCTGTAGTTTTAAAGAGAGATTATGATGATGATGATGGTGGTGGTGAAAGGTAATGATAATGACATGGCGGAGACCTGCTGTGACTCATACAGCACATATCTGAGCTACGTGAATCTGATTCATCAGCTGTAAACTGTACGTAAAGCTCTCAGTATCTGTGTGTCAGATCAGACTGTAAATGAGGAAAGCTCATATTTGTGTGGGCTGAGCTCCGGTGCTTTTGTAGGTCAGAGATCACTCGTTTAATGTTTGTTCACCGTGACTGTAAAGCAGCCGTACCTGTGCGCCTGCGCCTCAGTCGCTCTGCTGCTCTGCTCTATCACAGCTGAGCGCTTTATCAGCTTCATCACTGCTCCGTAAAGAACGGACAGACACACAACAACGCTTCACATTCTCTCTGACTGCCCAGCGCCTCCTCATCACAAAGCAGTGAGGAATACACAGCACTGCGCAAAACTCAGAGACCACCCTTCATTTATTTACTCATCAGTCTAGACAGCCATCAAGTACACGTTATTCATTTTACAGCTTTAGGAAAAAACTAAATACAGTTTTTCAGTGTTTATTGTGTCACTCTTTTCCTTTATTCCAGCTTCCATCCTTTTCAGGAGACTCACTTTCAGTTTCTCAAAGAAACCTGCAGGGATCTGTCTGTCTGTCTGTCTGTCTGTCTGTCTATCTATCTGTCTGTCTATCTATCTATCTATCTATCTATCTATCTATCTGTCTGTATGTCTGTCTGTCTATCTGTGTGTCTGTCTATCTATCTGTCTGTCTGTATGTCTGTCTGTCTATCTGTGTGTCTGTCTATCTATCTGTCTGTCTGTCTATCTATCTATCTATCTATCTATCTATCTGTCTGTCTGTCTGTCTGTCTGTCTATTTATCTATCTATCTGCTTTCATATGTGAATAACACTTTTCATAGTGATGATATTTTCATTCTTTTTTTCCTTTCTTTTTTCTTTTGTTCTTCCCTTTGGTCTTTTTTTTCCTTTCTTTTTTTCAAAAGATATAAAATCTTAAAATCTAAACACTTTTATATTGTCATTGGTGATTGTTTCTCTAATTATGTCATTCTTTTTCTATTTTTCTTTCTTTCTCTCATTTTCTTTCTTATTTTTTATTATTAAATATAAAATCTGAAGTTATCTTTTCAAAACATTTTTAATGATCTCTCTCTCTCTCTCTCTCTCTCTCTCTCTCTCTCTCTCTCTCTCTCTCTCTCTCTCTGTCTCTCTCTCAGGATCGAGGAAGTTGGAGTACAGTGGCTGTACGTGGCATGAGGAGTGTTTTGTGTGTCGTGTTTGTAAACAGTCGCTGGGCTCTCAGGCGTTCATCCCTGATAAAGATGATTATTACTGCGTGTCCTGCTACGAGGGACGCTTCGCCCCGCGCTGCACACACTGCAAACAGGTAACAGACACACACACACTCACACACACACATCTCTCAGTGCCACTCAGTACACTACTGCTCAGAAATATACTCTATTAAAATTAATGTTTTATTATCATTGTATTAGTTGTAGGGCTATAAAATGAATAATAATTGTGATTTGTGATTGTGATTGATTTTGTATGTAATTCATGTGTGACGTGTATTTAACTGCAGTTACTTGCATTTGACTTATTTGCTCAAATTTGACCCTAAATTCAGTTCAGTGCAATTTAAATGTATTTGCATAGCACTTTTTATAAGGGGTGTTGCCACAGAGCAGCTTTACAGAAGTTTGATTCCAAGCCCCAAATGAGCGTCACCAAGGGCAACGGTGGCAAGAAAAAAGTCCCTAAGAGCAAGAAGAAGAAACGTTGAGAAGAACCAAGACTCTGGTTGACACCAGATAACTAAACAACTTTTTAACTGTCTCAATCTTGTTTCTCAAAACAAACATATCACAGTATTATGTCCAAAAGTTTGTAGACTCCTCCAGCGCTTTTTCTGAAATGAAAGCTATTAATAGGGAGTTTGTTCCTCCTCTGCTGCAGTAACAGCCTCTACTCTTCTGGGAGGGCTTTACACTACATTTTGGAACACTGTTGTGAGGATTTGATTGAGCATTAGTGAGGTCAGGTACTGATGTTTGATGATCAGTTCTGGATCACTCCAACTCATCCCAAAGGTACTGGATGGAGCTCCATCACTCCAGAGAATGCAGTTCCACTGCTCCACAGCTCAATGCTGGGGGGCTTTGTACCCCTCTAGCTGACGCTCACCATTGTGAATGGTGACCATACAAGCATTCACCAATTAGAAGGAACGTTCAGATACTTTCGCGCATATATAATTAATATGAACCCACTTTGGTTAGAAATCACCCTCAGCTCCATTTACTGCCCTGATTATACGCCGATACGCAGCTCAGACAGTGTTTATCACTATCGTTACATTTTCTTCAGTGAGCTTTTTGGGATTTTCCCTTTTTTGGCTATAATTGTTCCGCCTTTGCACTTTTGTGATTGGATTATTGCTTGAATAATAGTGTTAAAACCATTTTTTTTAACATGTAGTCTGTTTTGTGGAGAGCAGATTGTGGACCCACAATGAGAAGTGCCATAAGAGTGAAGTTTATTATTATTAATGGCGCCGCCGTCCAGCATCTCTCCAAATGTTATTGTTTCCACTGAAGGTGATCTTTCTGTGTTTGGATGTTCGGATCCAAAAGAGAAGCATTCGCGTATTCTTCGAGGATATTCTGCAGACAGTTCGTAAGCCGTCAGCTTCGTAACAGTGTGCCGGTGGAGCGGTGTGCAGAATGTACTTGGCTAGCTTGTCCTCGCTGTCATCTGAAAACCTAATAACTCAATTTTTTTCCATCTTTAATACATTTTCTGTTCACTCTTTGAGACCGCCAACCACCGTTTACATTGTGTGAACGATATATGATGAATGGACCAGTAGAAATGGCCATACGCAAAAGTTTGTGCACCCCTGGTCAAATGATGTGTTCATTTTGTAAGTGTTTATTTGCTGAATTTAACATATTGTGGGAAAAATACAACATCAAATGTGGCCTGTGCGAAAGTTATGGCACATTTTATGTTTTATTTTGTTCCAGTATGTTAAACTCAGAAAGGAAATAAAAACTGTGCACATTGAAGTTTGTTCTGTGTGGAGCTCCAGGATTTAAACAATCAATACATAAAAATGAATAAATAATCAAACATAAAACTTCAAAAATCGTCAGGACACCAAAATCTGAATCATCAGAATAAAAAGCCCTTAAAATGCTTTTATTAAAAGGTTTTTAACTCGCGGTTTCTGACATATCCCAGAATGCTGTATGGTACAGCTCAACATTAACCTTACAGTAATTAGCTGTTTTATTACATAATATATCTTATGATGAGTTGATTTCACAGTAAAAAGATGAACACAGTATTTTACTGTGAATAATTAGTGTTAAATATTGTAAAATCCTGGCAGTAACTGAGTCCCTCTAATGAAAAACCATATAATAACCATTCCACCCTTTTTTTTGGATTATCAGTTATTTTGTTTGCTATTTTGTTTTTTATCATTTTTAATCATTTAGTTTTATCTTTAACATTAAAAAGTCAAACTATGCTTTATTTACATTTTAGTGATCCCTTATTTTAAACACAGCGCATTAAATAATGCCACAACATGCTTATATGATTTTAACCAAAAATGCCACATATACTGGTTTTGTTGCTGGGGCTCAGTGTGTTTGAGTTGAAGTTAAGGTTATGGTTGAGTTTAGGATTAGGTTTTATTACCAACCTGGTTATTATTATGATTAATATTATGATTATGATTATTATTATTATTGTCACTGTCGTTGTTGTGCAGGTCCTGGTGCAGGGCGGAGTGACGTACCGTGACGAGCCGTGGCACAGAGAGTGTTTCCTGTGCACTGGCTGTAAGGCTCCGCTGGCCGGTCAGCCCTTCACCTCTCAGGGAGAGAATCCGTACTGCGTCAAGTGCTTCAGCAGCCTGTACGCTCAGAAATGCTCCGCCTGCAACAAGGCCATCACAGGTCAGTGCACGCGTTCATCTCCTTATGTTTTCAGGATAACAGTCTTTTACATCCAGAGAAAAACAGAACAGACCTTCAGGAGCAGCACAGAGCGCCTGAGTGTGTAAAGTGCTTTCTTTTCAGCTAATGAGATTAAGATTGGAGTTTAGGTTTAAGATTAGACTTAGAAAATCCTTATTACATTCAGATACTTATATATACACACAGATACATACATGTAATACATATGGCACGTTATGACATATAGGTATTTACATATTACATATGTGAAATATTTGTCATATTATTATTTTTACATACAGACCCCTCATCAAATGACATGTTTATGTCCCGAAGTGTTAAATTTAGCAAATAAACAGTATTTGTGTATTAAAGTGTGCAGTAGTGTGTTCTCTGTGGAGGGCGTGTTCACTCACTTTCACTTATAAATAAACAAAACGCCATGTTTGGGGTGCCCAAACTTTTGCATACAACTATACACGTACATATTTATAATACATATGGGGCTTAGTATTATTAAATGTAGGAACTTTATATATGTGTGTGTGCAGCACTGCTGTGTCTGATCCACTCAGACCAGCGCAACACACACTAAAACACCACCACCATGTCAGTGTTACTGCAGTGCTGAGAATGATCCACCACCCAAATAGTACCTGCTCTGTGAGGGTCCATAGGGGTCCTGACCACTGAAGAACAGAGTAAAAGGGGGCTAACAAAGTATGCAGAGAAACAGATGGACTACAGTCTGTAACTGTAGAACTACAAAGTGCTCCTATATAGTAAGTGGAGCTGATAAAATGGAGAATGAGCGTAGAAACAAGGAGGTGGTCATAATTGTATGGCTGATGGGTGTATATATATATATATATATATATATATATATATATGTGTGTGTGTGTGTGTCTGTGTGTGTGTGACATTAATTACCTATTTGTACTTTTATATATATATGTATATATTATATATTATATATATATATATATATATATATATATAAATATATATATATATATATATAATGTTTATTACATTACATGTAGAATGAATATGGGTTGTGGAAGTACATGGAAATGAGTGCATGGCATGTGTGTGTGTGTGCGTGTGTGTGTGACTCTGTGTGTGTGTGTGTGTGTGTGTGTGTGTGTGTGACTGTGTGTGTGTGTGTGTGTGACTGTGTGTGTGACTGTGTGTGTGTGACTGTGTGTGTGTGTGTGTGTGTGGCTCAGACAATTCCTTTTGTGCTTTGTTCTGTGCTGGCTAACAGAGTCTGACTGTGTGGGCTGCAGCAGGCTGTCGGTGAGCGGTGTGAACTGAGGCCTCCTTTTCTTCTTTCACTCTGTCATGCGGTCAGAGGCAACATCTCAGTAATTCAGCCCTGCTGGGTCAGATTAAACCTGCACCTCCCGTGTCTGTCAGGACGCCACAGAGAATCAGTGCACAGGGCTCTTTCTGAATGTATTCAAGCTTTTCTTCTACAATCTCAATATTTGTCTTTTGTATCAGTTCCTCTCAAAATATCGTTTTGGCACCTGTTTTACTCTGCACTCTTTACAACAGCCAGGCACGGTATGATGCATCGTCTCCAAGTGAAAACATAATTTTGTCTTAAATATTACATTTCTGCCATAAAAGTGTGTTTATTGCACACTCTCAGAAATAAAGGTACTGCACTGTCACTGGGGCAGTTCCCAATCTTGTCACTGGGGTGGTACCCTCAAGGGTACATCTCAGTACCTTTAGTCAGGGAACATAACTGAACCATAATCCACTGAAATGATATGTTCTAAGCTGTACTGACTCCACACACCCCGTCTCGACTCCAGACTTTATTTTACTGTTCTGTTTTAAAACATTCAGTTATGAAAAGGTACAAATACGAACTTTTCACCTGGATAAACTTATTTAAGGTTCACAATCGGACCTTAAAACCACTATTTTTCTTTCTCCTATTAATTACCTTCTCAAACATACAAAGTATTATTCAAGGCACAGATTAAGTCTAACCTTAGACTAAAAAGTATTTTAAGTGGTGATTCACCATTGGTACTGCAGTCTGGACTGAGCTTAATCCAGGTCTGGGAAACGGCCCTTAACGGCCCCGTATATAAGTTTCCGTCACTTGTTAGCTACATTAGCCTAACAGCTCCGGTGAAAAACTTCAGACACCAAAGTGATCAATAGATTTGGTTTTTGGCAAAAACTATCGCTTTAAAGTCTTAATGATAATTACATAATATGATAATAACATACGTATAATAATTACAGTGAATGTTTATGGTGTGTATTTCAATGGAATGATAGTAAACACGGCCCACTTACAGACAGTATGCTGTGCTGATGAACTGTTGACATTCTCTCTCTCTCTATCTCTCTCTCTCTCTCTCTATCTCTCTCTCTCTCTATCTCAGGCTTCGGTGATGGGAAGTATGTCTCCTTTGAGGACCGTCAGTGGCACCAGTCGTGCTTTAAGTGCTCCGGATGCTCCATCTCTCTGGTTGGAGCTGGCTTTTTCCCTAACGGTGCAAAAATCTTCTGCAAAGACTGCAATGACAACTAAAACACAGCTTTACGAGCATCAGAACTGACCTACCATCACTTCACTATGCAGTCGGAGTCATGCCCATATTAGGAACTCTGGTTCTAAGATGGTTTTCTCTATGAGAAAAATGGTGCCGTTATTAAAAATTCCTAAAATGCTTCAAACCTATGTCTCTACCCCAGTCGTCACTGGATTGTCACTGGATCCTTGAATTACAAGGTAGTTTAGCAACCAAAGTATGAAAAATGCTAAATACATGCTGCAGATAAGCTAATGCTTCTGCACACTGAAATAATCTTGTATGAAAATAAGTCTATTAATAAATTTCAATATTGTTATATAACACCAGCTATGACTGTACCATGTTCAAAGCTTGTTGGTTTGTTTGGGGTATTTTGGTCAGATGGTGTCAGTCTTATGATGTCAGTCCAATGCACAGCAGTGTTAGCTTGCTGGTAACAATATTCATATTTCTGCTTCTTAATTGCCTCATAATTTGGATGATCTGATAATGCTTGGAGGAAAAATATCCACAGCATTTTTGTTTACCACAGGGGGGCGACAGCAGCGATTTTTGAAAACGCCATTAAATTTTCCCATAGAGAAAATCATATTAGACTTAATCAAGGACTTCCTTGTATGGGCATGACACAAACTACACAATAACGAAACGACAGAGATCTATAGGCCTTTATGTCAGCGTGGATGTGGTAACACAGATGGTAGAGAGCTGATTTTATTCTACATTTTTTTTTTTTTTTGCATTTTATTTAATCAGCTTTGCTATTTGAAATGCACATCTATATTTTTAAGTCCCCTGTACGGAAGTCTTAGGCCATCTGAGAACATAAAAAAGCTGTTTATCTGGGCGGTAGGTTTATTTGTTAAAAACAATAACCTTAAATAAATCCAAATAAATAAATATATAAGTCAATAAATATGATTTAATGTGTGTGAGTTAGTTTATCTATTCCCAAAGCTCTTCTCCGGGACGCAGGAGTGCAGCGAGAAGTCAGAAACCAAACCTATGTTCTTCTAACTTACTAATAACTTTACTGTATTTATGCTTATTTATATTTATTCTAATGCTATACAGTGTTTGTAATGGCAAAAACACACTTACTGCCCAGATAAAGACTTTTACACCTGTCTAAGACTTTTGCACAGTCCTGTATGTTTATTAGTTTGTATAAAGATAGTCTGTCCAGTTTATCTTTACAGTGCTTTGAGCAACACAAAAATATAAAATACACTAATATGCTGTTTGGGCAGTTTCACATCCCAGATCAAACTGTGTCGGCTCAGAAAGTGGGCCTTTGGGCCAAAGTAGACAAAAACACCATTGTCACTCGTTTCATGTGGCCCATTTTGGGCTCTGAGTTTGAATGAACGCATTCCAGCAGGAAATTTACATTTCAACAATGCATGAGTCGACCTAGAAAGTTGTGAGAGATTAGATCATGCGTTATTATTGCCACACATAGTTACTCAGCCTTTGAGTTGGATGTATTTCAGCCTGTACAGTCACCTATCAAAGTCCCTCAGTATTGTTAATGTGCCACTGAGGGACTCTAACGCTTGCAGCGTTTGAGTGTATATACATCATAATCATCTACATATTTGTGAAGCTTTAAAGGGGAATTCAAGGGGATTTTTAAAAACTTCTGTATGATTAAATGCTAGAGATGTGCGCAGTCATTAAGAGTGGTTTCAGGTGAAATGCTACGTTCTAGAGAAACTTACTGAGACAGACCTGTTCACAGTGGTGGTGATAGGAACCAGACGTCTGAACAGTTTAATACCTCTAAAAGCTCCCTCACAGAAAGTTCCTGATTTCTGAGACATTGGTTTATGATAGTTTTGAGAAGATTTGGGCCTCAAACGTATTAGATAAGCGTTGTTTGTAGGTTCACTGGTGGTTTTGGATAGTAAATATAGTGGCTATATTTGTGTTGTAGTCATGGTGACCCCTGGTTCCTATCAGCACCACTGTAAAGAAATCTGAGTCTATAAGCTTCTCTACAATGAACCATTTCACACCAAACAACTCTGTATGACTGTTTACATCTCAACTGCTGAATTATGCAGAAATCTTGCAGAACAATTGGTCGAATTCCCCTTTAAAAATGTACTGCAGCAGGTAATATTAGCATTATGCTCCACACATAATGTATATTAGCACATACATTAATATTAACACAGCATATTAACATTGTTGACAGTTATTTAGTCTGTTGTGTTTAGGATTATAATTAATCAGCCATGCTAAACATTTATTCCAATAATGTTGCACTAGCGCATCACCGTTATTTTGTTTATTGTAATTGCACTGTGTAACATTTTTCTGTGCCTATCGTAAAAATGCTGCGATTTCTTAAATCTTAAAGCCAAATTCGGTTGTTTTGATTCAGATAATGTAGCCTACAGGCTGCCCTATGCAGTTTTTCTATGTGAAAAACAATAAAATGACAATTTTTGAACTCCTAAAAGATAAAATTCCTCATTAAAATGTCTTTTCTTGCTTTGAATTTGTGTGTTTTTGTGTGATATTGCCAAAAAAGGCCTAGTGATGTCATCGTGCACCGGTCAGATACTGAACAGAAACACAGGACACGGTTTAGCTCACTGTAAACGATGGCAAAGCTAAACTTAAATCATGAGGAAGAGACTCCAATATTGGATCCCCCCACCAGTGACCATCTGTGCTTTCTTAACGCTATATAAACTCGATGGTAACTATGTGACACCGCGATCGTTCACATCTGATAAGTTGATGGAGGAAAGTCCTCTGTCTTGGATAAAGTGCAGCTTTTTGTAAAATGTTCCGATCCATCCCACTCTCCAGATGCCCACCTCCCAGATTCTTTGCCCTAAAAAGGGCGTACGAGGCTAAAACATGACTTTGTGGCTGAGGTTGGGAGTGGGAGGCTAAGCTTAAACAGTCTTCAGGATGGCACCCTTTAATCCTGATTAATGGCGCTTGAGAGGAAGCGGAAAATGGAAGCGGCATTACTATTTCTATTATGATTATTATCAGTATTATTATTATCAATATTACTGTAGTTGTTATTACACTATGCAAAAGGATCTTTTAATGTAGATATTATCATCTACACATTTGCATGGCAGTGTACCACGTTGATTAACATCGCTACAGCATATTATCGCCAAATTCTGAGGCTTGTGCCGTTTTTGTGTGGGCTTTTATAATCAGCTGTGCTGTACATATATTTGAGTAAAGTCACTGGGCTTTCATTGTTATGGCACTTCAGGTTATTTCATTATTAGAAACATTTCATTATCATGGCACTTAACTCACAAATAACTGACAGCAACTGCACTACACTGAAAAATTCTTCCAATTTCTAGTTTGTGAGTTTGAACTACTAGTCAGTCTTCGTGCAGGAGGTGGTGCTGATATGAAATAAAATAATGTACTGTAGGAAGAGACTGAAGGCCTTTAAAGGTGAAGGTGATTTGCTGATGAAAAGAGGCCAGTGATGCCAGCCTTGCCATGGAAAACTGACCAGACCACAACCTCTACAATTTATGATTTATTTACCAAAAAAACACTTTTCAACGCTGAATGGATTTTTTAAATAGCCGTTATGAAAGCTAGTAACTGTAGGTGTACCACACCCTGTGACTGAAATACAGCGAGAGGTCTTCTTCCTTTACCCATAAAGACAATCAACATGTCATTTGGAACTACAGATTAGATTAGACTATATTAGACTAGACCAGAATAGAATAGAATAGAAGTAGACCAGACATGAACAGTACAGTATAGAAATAAAACAGCAGAAAAATATCAGTAGCTTATAGTAGAACTGAAAAGAATAAAACAGAATAGAATAGAATTGAATGAAATTCAATAGAAAACAACTGAACAGAATAAAACTGAACAGAATAGAACTAAATAGAACAGAATATAGAAGAGAACGGAATAGAATAAAACAGAATACAGAACTGAACAGAACAGAATAGAACTGAATAGAACAGAATAGTATAGAAGAGAACGGAATAGAATAAAACAGAATAGAATAGAACTGAACAGAACAGAATAGAACTAAATAGAACAGAACAGAACAGAATAGAACCAAATAGAACAGAATAGTATAGAAGAGAACAGAATAGAATAAAACAGAATAGAACTGAATAGAACAAAACAGAATAGAACTAAATAGAACAGAATATAGAAGAGAACGGAATAGAATAGAATAGAACTGAACAGAACAGAATAGAACGGAATAGAATAGAACTGAATAGAATATAACTGACCCGAATGAAACTCAATAGAACAGAAAAAAAACAGAATAAAATAGAACACAATCAAGAAGAAAATAAAAGACAATTATCAGAATAGAACAGAATATAATAGAAAGGAAAAGAACAAGACAAACAAGAACAGAACAGTCGCATCAAACAGAACAGAAAAGCAGAATTTAAAAAAGGAGAATAAATCAGGAAAAAACATATCAGAACAGAGCAGATCTTTATGGTCTGTAGTTTCCGTCATAATAAAACTTATAACAACAATTACAAACACGCTCGACAAACACCACACAGACCTGCTGGAAGATGAGGAATGACAGCTGTAGTCTCCGTACGCTCCATGTAACAATATTTTCTGAAGTCGCCATGTTAACGGTGTACGTGACTGAACCAGTCTGACTTTGTTTGGACCCATTTGCCCTGCTTGACCCGGTTTGGCCCCATTTAGCTCGCTTTGGCGTCATTTGTCCCCCTTTGACCCCACATGACCCTGTTTGGCTCACAGAGGTCTTGTGTACCACAGCAGCAAAGAACAGGACTTCAGGTTGGACATGGCAGCACTTTCTTGGACTTACTAGGCCTCATATAGTCTATACGTTTGGGCTCCTCCTGGGCTTCATGATGAAATTAGTGCTGAGCCAAATGTGGGCCACTGTGGTGTTTTCCTTCATAAATTCTCATGACTCCTCTGTGAGACGCTGCTGACCCGGCGTAGTGAAATATGAAAGAGAGCTGGAGCTTTTGCCTCCTGAGGGACTGGAGGTTGCATCAAAGACACAAAGCATCTCTTGGCAAGCGGACCAAACAGTAACTTGCTCAGCTGGAGGGTTCGGCTAATACTCAGAGGACCAAACATTTCTCTGTACCAAGGCTAGTTTTTCCAAAACTTCAGCATTTTCACACTTTCACATTTCCCAAAACTCACTTTTCATTCATGTTTCAGCATCAGGAAATGTTTCAGGATTTAGTGTGTATTCAGTTTATCACAGCTTCCACTCTTTTCAGGAGACTCGGTTTCAGTTTCTCAAAGAAACCTTCAGGGATGTTTTCCACACCTCCAAAGTTCAGTCTTAGAAGTTGGTTCAACATTTTCTGAAGTAATCAAACCCATTCAGTGGTGTTGAGGTCTGGACTCTGGGGTGGTCACTCAGTAATTCAGTAACATTTTCTTTTACAGTCCCACAAGTTTTAAGTATTACCTACACTCTTATAACGATTTAAGGGTTCGTTTAGAACCATGAACTCAAAGAACCATTTGCATGATTAAAGGGTTCGTGGCATCATGAAAGTGTTCTTCAAACTGATAGAATGTGCTATAGATGGTTCTATATAGAACCTTTTTGAAAATAGTTTCATATAGGATCTTCTATTGTTACGGTGTTAAGCATGTATCAGTAGAAGAACGCTTTTCGAAAATGTTCTATATAGAACCGACTATAGAACATTCGTGCACATTTTCCGTCAACCTAAGAACCCTTGCATGTTGCAAAGAACCCCTTATTCATGCAAAGGGTTCTTTTAGTGTCCGTGGTTCTATATAGAACCATTTTCTTTCCTAAAGAACCCTTGAAGTACCATCTTATTAAGAGTGTAAATAAGTCTGAGGTTCAAACTCCAGACTATTGTGTAAATACTTTAGGTACCATGATGGGATGTTTCCAGACAGCCTGCCTACACTGAAATATCCAAACTACACTGAAGTGCCAAACAGGTTTTAGATATTAAGCTGAATAAAGTACAGAGTAAAATATCTCATAATCTGATTGTCATTTGGAGTAACAAGGTGGTAAATACAAACTCACATTTTTTTCTATCGCCTGGTGCTTATATATTTTGTTTTCTACAATGATGACACAGTACTTTGAAGCTTGTACTACATACTTACTTTTGGAACCTTAAGGAACCTTAAAAGAACTTAAGGAACCTTAAAAGAACGTGTAACCAAAAGGTACTAAAAAGAAACATTAACAGTTTGAAAAGAAAATGGTTAGAAAAAACAAAATTAAAAAGCTACATGAAAAAAAAAGCTACAGTCTACATGAACCAGACTAACAACCACCTGGAAGACCTGTAGACACCAACACTGTCCCCATCAGATAAACAGTACTTAAAGCTTTCATCTTTGAGAGAGGGGAGAAAATCAAGCTGCTTCAGATCTGAAAACATCCACAGGTGTTTCTGTCCATCCTTCCACTGTGAGAAGACGACTCAGCGCTGTGGGTCTGAAAGGATGTGTAGCTGATCAAGAAGAACCTCACTGAGAAAAGGAGACGGACACATCAAACAAAGAAGCTGAACAATGGACTGACCACTCCAGAGTCCAGACCTCAACTCAACTGAATGGGTTTGATTACTTCAGAAAATGATCAACCAGCTTCTAAGACTGAACTTTGGAGGTGTGGAAAATATCCCTGCAGGTTTCTTAGAGAAACTGAAAGTGAGTCTCCTGAAAAGAGTGGAAGCTGGAATAAAGGTAAAAAGTGACACACTGAGTACTGAAAAATAGCTGTTAAATCTTCTGGGTAATTTTCATCTTTACTGTATTTGTTGATACGTTCTCTGTTTCTTATTTTAAATTTTGCAAACCAGCCAAGGGTCTAAAAAAGGTGCAACATTAATAAAACATTACTATTGAAAACGTTAAATAAACTCGAGTAAATTATTCTCTGAGTGCAGGTATAACACTCACTCTCTGGCACGTTAGTGATGGAAAGAGAGCGAATCAGGGTTATTTTGAGTGGTTTTCTGTGTTTATTAGCCAAGTAGAGCAATTTAGTTTGGCAACAGTGTTTCTGATTTGGCAGGTAAGGTGCAGGACTGGAATTTTAAAAGGTATAAAATATGTGGTAGAAAATAGAATAGAAAAAGAAAATAGAGGCAGTGAGGGCTGAGGGCAAAGCCTATTTCTTTTGCTTTTAAAACATTTTAAATATAAACATACATATACCAGCTTTATTTAAATAAGTACTGTGCAAAAATCAGCTTTCATTTTTTGTTTAATTTCTAGTCAAAACAGCCATTAAATACAAGTTATACATTTTTCAGTGTCAGCAAAAAAAGCTGAAAACATATTTAATTGAAAATTACAGACATCTCAACAACTAAATATCAGTGTTTTCAGTACTCAGTGTGTCACTCTTTACTTTTATTACAGCTTCCATTCTTTGCAGGAGACTCGTTTTCAGTTTCTCAAAGAAACCAGCAGGGATATTTTTCACACCTCCGAAGTTCAGTCTTAGAAGCTGGTTGATCA